TTTAAAGAAAGTGTTTTGTTAAGTGTGGTGTCTGCACCTGTGATCTTAGATAGTCAGGAGGCTAAGGCAAGAGTTGTGAGTTCAAGGCTACATTAGACCCTGTCTCAAAAAAAAAAAAAAGAACTCGACCCAAACAAATAAGAACTCTCAAACACACAAACCCCTCCAAAACCAACCACTTAATCAACTAACCACCCTACCCAGCAAACAGCCAGGCATGATGGTACACATCCATAATCCCAGAAATGAGGTACAGAGGAAATTTGAGGTCAGCCTGGGTTACATGGTTAAGACAGAGCTAGGGTTGTACTTCCGTGGTAGAGTGCCTCTGATGAGCAAGGCCTCAGACTCTACCCCCAGCAACAGACAAGCAGGCAAACAAACATACACTTTCACTATTTTGGTCCACAGCTGCCCCTAAGAACATTTCAGGTTTGTAGATCATTTGTAGGACCTATACATTCTATAGCTCTAAATACTTCAGAAACCACCTACAACAGTCTTCTAGATCTGTGATGAGACTGGATCAAGCTATGTTAAGCATCTTGCTTATGGTTCACAGTTTGTTGCGCAGAAAGGATGCAAACATAATTCACCAGGTCTGTGTGCTCTTTACCTTATTGTGGGCTTTCAGCAATGTCTACAGTTGGATTCACATTTAAGGCAAAATTACTTAAATCTCTCACCTGCCTTGAATATGCTTTGTAACCCAGACAAAATAGCTAGCATCAACCACACAGGCATTACTACCAATTTTCTTTCTTTATTAGACTACAGAACATTTTAATGACAACAATATTACATATATTTATAGATGAGAAGGCATACTTCCTCATTGGCATGAATAAATTCTAAGTATATAAAACACTAAAGAAAAAGTAAAAGGTACTTTTGAAAAATGAATAGAGGTACCTGAATGTTTTCTGAGGACTCTTGCCAGCTCCTCAATAGTTCTTACACAGTCCAACCCCTGCAACAAAGGCACAAAAACAAGAAAACTGAAAGCTAAATCAGAAAACAAGCTGGGCCTGCTGGCACATACCTGTAATCTTAGCTACTCAGGAGACTGAGGTAAAATGGTCAACAATTAAAGGGGTGTCTGGGTTGCACAGTAAGTTCAAAGGCAGCCTGGGTAACTTAGTGAGACCCGGGGAGGGCTGGGGATGGAGCTCAGTGCTGAGAGCGCGCCTGGTTTGTGTGAGGTTCTGGTCGGACCCAAAGCAAATCGGGAACAAGTAGGAGGCAGGGTCCTACACTGTGACAGCCTCCACCACCTTCAGAGACAGTGAGGTTCATTTCAAACCTTTTCTTCTTATTATTTTTATTTGTGTGCCTGTGTGACTGAGTGTGGGCACACACATGTCAGGACATTACATGTGTGAAAGCGAGCATGCATGGAAGTCAGAAAACAACTTTTCAAGAGTCAGTTTTCCTCTTCCACTGTGGGAGTCATCAGAGTTGTACTGAAACACTTCTACCTGCTGAGTTGCCTCCGCAAGCTCAATCTCAGATGGCTTTTATGTCCCTTCAGTTGAGTGTCAGTTACTATACATACAAAACACCCTAAAGATATGTAAACCTTTTGGATGTACAACAAAAGCCAAAACCAGAACTTCCAGAAGGTCTCTGAGCCACGAGAACTTTCTCACTTGGAAGAATACCTTAGGTATGGATATGCAAGAGAGCTTCTGTCCTTCCTCACATGTATGCTGAGCAGATTTGCACAGTTTATTTAAGAACTGATGCCTTGCTGTGGAGAGCGACTGAACTCAGGTTACTTCCCTGTGGGACTAGCCAAAATTAAAGTCACACAGTAGTTTGGAATGGTGTTTTGGCCAAGTCGTACTTCATGTTTTTGCTGTTTTTCAGACCAAGTGTCTCTGTGCAGCCCAGGCTGAACTCAAATAATTCAAGGCCCTCTTGCCTGTGCCTTCCAAGTTTTGGGATGCAAGCATATTCCACTGTACTCTGGCACATAAAAACATGTTTGTGATCCCCATCTGCATAAGGCCTTCTGATGGTACAGACCCTACAACACATTCAGAATTTTACTTTAGAAATAACTATCAAAAGTAGTTTAAAAAAAAATTAATGAAAATCAACATTGAGGAGATATAGGTCATTCCATATGGTAGACCTAATCTCACTCTACACCATTCATCAAATTCCAGGTAGATTTCTTTTGACGGGTTTTCCTGAAGTCAGAAATGTCCTTGGAATGCAGACTCAGAACAAAGCCATGTAGAGCGAGCTCCTGAGCAGCAGCAGTGCAGGCATCAGACCAACAGCATCTATGCCACTTCATTCCGAAAAGGGTCCCTTAGTGACAGGTGTGACTCGGTGCAGGGCCCCACCTGGCATGCATAAGGCACTTACCAGACTGACTCTGTTATCAGAGAGAGAAAGAGAGAGCAGCCACAGAGAACGTGTACAGGACTGGGTGTGGCACTATTCTAATAAAACTGTGAAAACAGGCTGTTAGCATGGAATGATGGCACGGGTCATAATCCCGATTCAGAGGCTGAGGCAAGAGGGTCAGGAGTTCCAGACTGGCCTGGACTATAAAGCAGACCCCCATCTTCAAGAAGAGGGGGAAAATCAAAACAACAAACGGGGCTCTAAGCTGCTTTTCAGCATATGGGGTGTACTCTGCTATCTCTCCTGACAGACATGATCCAAGCCATCCAAGAGAGAACTTCCCAAAGCAAGAGGGGGAACAGAATTATCTACCAAAATACATGTTTTGGTACTGATAAGACCAAGCTTGTCTTAAATCTAGGTCCTGAACTCAAAAGTTAATGCTCACCATATATAAGCAAAGTAACATCACAGATAACTCTGGGAGGGTATCTGTCCCGGTCTAGTGGCTAAGCCAATGGGCACTGGTGAAGGCGGTCTGGATTCAGAGAAGTCAGCACAATTTGTTCTACAGTGGAAGCCCCTTCAGAGCTACCTAGTCAATGGGCAAGCTTTGCCTTTTGCTCTACAGCCCAGGCTGACCTTGAACTTCTAGCAATCCTCCTGCCTCAGGCTCCCAGGTGCTGGGATCACAGGTGTGTCCGCCCCATGCCCAGCCAGCACTTGCTACTCTTCACATCCCCTCCAAGTGGGTCAACACAGGTTCAGAGGCTGTGCTTCGCGGTGCACTGCATGTGGAATGCCCCGGTACATTCCAGATGCCTCACAATTCTGCCAGTGAGGACGGCGCTAACCACATGTTCACAGCACATGTGTGTTCACGTGGCAACCGTACCTCAGCAGTCTCATGTCCGTTAATTGTCATACAGACGTCAAGGTCACTCTGTTTGAACCCAAATCCATTTTTGGAGGAGCCAAACAAGCTCAATTTAGTTCCTGTTAGGGATAGATGACAAGTAATAACTTATTACCTGAGTACATTTAATTGTTGTTTTAACGAATCCAAAATACCAATTGCTAACTATCCTATCTCATAATTAAGGTCTTTAAATGTTGTTATTACAATGATTTGTTTATTTATTTATGTACTGTGTCTGTGTGCATATGTGAAAGACAGGGGACAATATGCAGGAGCTGTTTTTTCCTTCCACCATGTGGGTCCTGGACTCAGGTCATCAGGTTTGGCACCAAGGTCATTTATCTGTTCAGCCATCCTGCCAACCCCAATGTCTTTTTAAATACACATTTATTCTTAATGATTCTTTCAGTTTACTTAAATATACATGTTATATATGACATGAAAGATTAGTGGATACCACTTTATACCAAAATGCAAGAACGTCATTCAAGGAAAAATGTGAACCATTTAATACTGTAAGAGCGATGCTTGTAATGTACTTTAAAAGACTGATTTTTACCTCTGTGTCTGTGTCTACATACATTAGTGCATATACCCTCAGAGAACAGAGGTGTCAGGTCCCCTGAAGTTGGTCTGTAGGAGCAGCATGTACTCTTACTGGCTAAGCCATTTCTCTAGCTCCTGGAAATGTGTGCGACTTACTCTAATTCCAAGTGAATTCACCTCCTGCATGCTGGGTGATCCTACACTGTAGTCTTTCTGTTGGTAAACTAGATGTGGTGGACCAAAGCCCATCCCAGATATATAAACGACCTCAACTCTGATCCTACTTACCACAAGGTTTTCCCATCGTTGCTAAAGTTAATGTGCCTGTAATACACATGTTCTTCTATTACCTTTCTTTTCCTAAAGATAAAAAAATTACCTACCTGGAAAGTCCTGTTTTATGAAACTTTCTAGATTTTGCCGGATATGTTCACGAGCCTGATCTTCAACAAGAGTTGGAGAAAAATCCTCTGTTTAAAAACAAATAGATACAATGAGTAGGGGAGTGACTTAAAAAAAGAAAAAGAAAAAAGAAAAAAAAAGAGTTGATATTGTTAGGAAAGCAGAAAAAATAGTTTTGAGGAAAAGAAAACTTACAAGCTTCAAAAATTAGACTTTTATACCAGACAGTGCTAGCAATAAAACAGTCGGACAGCGTCTGTCCAGCTAGGACTGTGGGACAGACATAATGCCAGCAGTGGGAGGTCCACGCCAGCCAGGGACACACAAGGAGACCCTGCCTCAATGAGTCTAGCCCAAGAACTGCTCTGGATAGGGAGGCTAACAGGGACAGGGGCTCTAAACCTGGGTTGACAGAATCTTCTAGAATTCCAACAGAAATGTCTGTGGGCCACTTTGTTTTTAAATGGGAGCCTGGTTTTCTTTTTTAATATCTGAAAAAATTTAACAAAACAAAAATGTCAATGGTAGCTGGGCAATCCTGGATATTTGGGAGGCTAAGGTAGAGGAGGACAGCTTGAATCCAAGAACTCAATAACACAGTGAGACCCTATCAGAGAAAGGGAAGGAGGGACTAGGCTGGGCATGAGAGTCAGTGGGTGGTCCCACAACAGGGAGGCACAGATTGGAATCAGTGGTTGTGAAAAGGTAACAAGAGGACATGAAGTGGAAGTAGTGAGATGTGGGGAGTGGATGCAGGAGGATCTGGGGGATGGGTGGCGGTGAATATGATCACAACACACTGCATGCAATTCTCAGAGGACTGACTGTAAGGCTGACTGATAACTCTCGAGTGTCAACCCCTGTGCACACAGAAGACTTACTGTAACACTGGATGCAAACTTGATCTAAGATATTTGAGAACTTGGGTGTCAGTGGTGGCAAAGGTTCCAGTTGGATTCTCTTGAAGTCCTCAGGACAGTCCTTCTTTAGATGACCTTCACGTTTACACAAGCTGCACACCACTGTGGGAGACTGCAGAGATATGATGAACCAAGATACAAGTGAGTGAGATAAAAATCTGCTAAATAAAGGGTCTTAGAAAAAATAATTAACTATAGTTATTCCCTAATTTACAGCTACTCCAAATGTCCTGAGAGATGGGACATGCTGCTGGTGATGTCAGGAGAAAAGGGATGTGAACTGTCTGTAGCCTATGCACATCCTATTAGTCTCAAGGAGGGACATGGATCAAGTGGTCACACATCAGAACCTGTTCATGGAAATCAGGCTGACTAATAGCTCAGCTGGTAAAGGGCCCTTGCTGCCAAGCCTGGTGACCTGAGTTCAATTCCTGAGACCCACACAGTGAGCGACCTGACTCCCTCAAGTTGGCCTCAGACTTCCACAAACACACAAATGGCACATATGCCTATCCCACACGGGTGATAAATGGGTAAATATAACACCCCCTGCCCCCAGAAATAATATCCATTAGAATGCTCTAGAGTCCCCCAGATCTGAGACCATCAGCAACCATTACCTTGCCTTTGGTGAAGGTCAGTTTTCTAAATTCATAGAAGAAGTCCGACTGGTCCCTGGGTGAATTTTCCTCAGGAAAGCTTTTTTCATTAAGACTTATTCTGTTTAGGTCTATGAGCAGAGTCCCACCCATGTGTTCTTCAGACTCTTCTAGATCTTCACCCTTAGCAGGCTCAGCTAAGTCATCCTCTTCAGAAAGGGCATCCTCCTCCCCTGACCCAATGTGTCTGTTATCCCCCTGATGTTCACTAACAAGCTCCTCCTCATCTTCTGTGTGGTTCATACTGAGCCTGGGCTCCTCATCCTCATCCTCGTCGTCATCAAAGTGCATGACTGCTGATGCCTGGCCCGGGACTAGAGGGGAGAAGCAATTCAGAGACCCTTCTGTGTTTTCTTCATTGACATCAGCCTTGTCATCCGAGGAGGCACAGCTGCCACACTCTTCAGTGCCAGGGCTCCGGAGCCCTACCAACTCCAGAGTGTTGTCTGCTTGGAGACCACAAAGGCTGCCATAGTTCTTAAGTTCTGGATGCTTGCTGCTGCTTAAATCTTGATCATCAGAGCTCAAAAGATGCCTGGCCTGCCTTCTGACTTCCTCGTTGTCACTTCCTGTTTCTTGATGCTGTGCTGCGGCATCCTCACAACCCTCGCAACTGACCTCTGCTTGGACATAATCAGAGCTTTCCTGGTGTATTTGAATGTGCACACTTCCTATTTCCTCCTTTGGTGGGCTTCCCAGCAGCTTAGTGGTATCTTTAAGAGTAAGCGGTTGTGCCTTGCAGGAACCTGAGGTGGGAACACCAGGACCTTGAGCCACAGCTGCTTTTCCCAGTTTATCAGTATCTGCCTCTTGGAGCTTTGGGCCACAACTTCTTGCTTCTTTATATGGGTCTGAAACATGGGTAATGGGGCCAGGAGGCTTTGTGAGGTTGGGTTTTGTAACTCTGTGTGGGAGAGCGAAGTATTTGTATGTTGTCCTCAAACAATGAAGTATATACTCAAACACAGGTTGGTTATTCAGGGTCCTTGCCACATTTCTTTTAACAGAATAGGGGTCTGTAACAAAAAAAAAAAAAAAAGAGAGGAAAAAAAGAGAAAGCCACCACTTCATACACTTCTATTTCATCATGTTTAAAACTAGACTTTCAAAGATAAAGCAGGTAACAAACAATAGTAAACTGGATCATGCATCTTACATGCTTTAGATACACTTAAACACAACTTGGTGGGCGTGAGGGCAGCAGTTTACGAGCTGAAAGCAATGCTCCTGAGTCTCCTGCTCTCCACAGAGAACCCATGGGAACTGAGACCCCTTCCCTAGCTGCTCAGTGACTGGAGGTAGGAAAGATATCATCAGTGTGGCTCTGGAGCCCTGGGGAACTGAAGACTTTCCAACAGGCTTTGCGGCTGAGTCCTCTGCACCCTACTCAGCCAGCCTTACGGTGTGTCAAGCTTACCTCCACTCTTCCGCCCTGGGAGGCCCCATCACTGAAGTGGCTGGCCTGAGTTTCAGGGGCGAGAGGGAGGCACCAGGAGGAGACACCACTTCTCTCAATCTTTTCTCCTCCCCTAGAACTCCAGCAGGTTAGGCAATTGGCCAGAAGAGCTGAGCCAGAGAAACTGCAGGGGAGGGTTTAAAATGTGAGATCCCCAAGACTGCACATAGAATTTATGCAAAAAGAAAAAAATATCTTATGCAACATAAAGCTTGAAAAAAAAATCAAGCAAAACCGAGATTTCCATGTAGGAGTTTTGCTGTTGTTCTTAAGTTAAAGGAGGAGAGCTAAGATTTCTAGAAGGTTCCAACCTCCTGACTTTGCAAAGCTGAGAGGAGTTTTTCCATCACTGTCTGATAGCTGACTCTGCATGAGGAAGTTACTGCTTTCTGCTTTAAAAATAACTCTGTTTCCTCTACTGGAGTCATCCAACCTTAAGAACAGCATTTTTCACAAGAAAAATATTTCACTCATCTTTGTAAAACTAAACCTCAACAGGAATTCCTAAGAGGGTAGGATTTCAAAACACAAAAGTGAGGACAGTAAGAAGAAGACTAAGAACCCACAGATCGCAGGGAAACTTCGAAAGCACTAAGTTTCTAAGCACCTCACAAAGCAGGGACTCAGGTACCTTTAACCAGTCACTTGATAATTAAGACACTGTACCTTAGGGTAAGCCCTTGGTCCCTTACAACCCAAGGTACTGCATGCAGGAGTCTAGTGTTTATTTTACCTTCAGACCAGGCCTACCTCTGGTAGGAACTGTAAAGAGAAATGTGATAAAAATGGGCTGTTAGATTGGTACCATATAAAAAGTAATTGAACATTATTACCTTCAATAGCGATGCGCTTTTTGGGCCAGTCCTTGGATTCCCGGGATATCAATTCTTTGACACGAATACTGATCACTAAATCAGCCAGATTAAACTCTAAAGCATAGAACCGTAGCAATTCCACCCAGAGTTGCCCAACTGGCACTGAAGGCTCGTGTTTTATATTAAATGTCAATGGAACCTATGAATGACAAGGAGCACAGAGGTTAATTCAGATGCCAGCTCAGCCCGAGAAGTAAGAGATTTCTCAAACCTAAGTGAAAAATCTGAGGACTTCAGAAAACCATGAGCTGGACAATCCATCTAGATAATCTAATCACAGGCTCTATTAGGTCAGAGGTGAACAGCACTGCACCCTGGGACTCAAGCATGTTAACACTCAGCCATTGTCTCAGGAATTTCACCACAGGAGCAGACAGCACAGCTAATTGTGAAGTCTCAGCAGTAGGTGGAGAGGACCCTGTGAAAGGCTGCTGGTGTGCTCAGGAAAGGCCTGCTGCTGCTGCTGCTGCTGCTGGCAGGCACCTGTGCAGGTGTGGGGACTCAGAGCCGCTCCTGCTGAGGCAGGGAGGAGGAAGAAACTCACTGTCATTGGCCGACACACTGTATCTGCCAAGTGGCACTGAGTCTTTACGTCAGATAATACTTAGTATCAGTTCAAACAACATATGTGACATAATAAAAAGTACATAGGACTTAAGATAGAAAGGAACAGGGGAACAGTCCCATCGTGACTCTGCCAGCCCATAGCTTTAGCTACTCTGCAACTTAGTTTCTCCACTCTGTGATTGTTAGCACAGGCAGGACAATGGCCAACAGAACTGGCTGTGACAAGCCTAGTTTAAAATCCACACTCTGCCAGGTACTAGCTGTGATGACCTTGGTCAAGGTCTATAACCTGTCTAAGACTTGAATTCCTCATCCGGAAAATGGGGATAACAGTACCCACCTCATAGGGTTGTTGGGAGGACTGAGGGAGATAGTGTCTGTAAAGTGCTTAGCACAGTGCCTGGCAGACAGTGTTCAAAAAATGGTCGCTATCATTACTGCAGAGTAGGGATGATACACCTATAACACAGGACAGTGATGAGGATTAAATCAGAAGCAAGGGAAAGCAGCGGGCAGATGTGGTTGCTCTCTGCACTTTTCTCAGGCACTATCTTTTGAAGAAATGCAAACATCACTGAAACACAACGTCACACCTGTAAGATGCTCTTTAGAGGTAATTCAGTTCAACTCCCATGTGCTACAAGAAGGAACTGAAATCCTGAGCACTTTCATGATTCCTCAGTGACACTGCTTAGCAGGAAGAATCAGCAGAGGTTAAGCAAACCACCACTCTGAAGTTAAGTATGTTCTAGAGGTTGCTTAACCTCTCCAAATAACAATTTTAAAATAAAGCATTAAATGGACACATAACAATGACTTTTTCTTCACATTTTTTTCTCTAATACATGAATAAAACATTTTTCATCTGAAGTATATAAATTTGTCTACAATCAAACTTCTAACACCACACTTTAAAATAAGTGGTGTGACATTTCATTAACTAGTAAATCTCAGGCACATGGATTCTGCCAATCACGAAGTCACCTGGGAGGACTGCAAGGCAGTGCTGACACTCCTCACTGGAACAGACCTGGTCTAAGTCCCACACATCGTAGTTGAGGACACAGAAAGCCTGAGAGCCTTGTTGAATTGCACCTCTTTATCCACTTTGTAGTCTGAGGAAGGACTTTTAAGTCTCTCACGTAATGCCTTCAAAGCTTCATAGCAAGGAACTTCAGAAGACTATCTACACCACTGGTTTTAGCCTTTCTTTTCAAAGTAGAGAATACTCTTTTCCAAGGAAGAATAGCAGCTAGTGTTGACCGAGTGCTCACCACATGCCTGACACTGATTTAAACTCTCTAGGAAACAATGAATGCTAGGAGAGGGCACTAAGATTATTTGTGGGGAGGAAGCCGGGGCACAGGAAGATTAAGTGACCTGCCTAAGGACACACAGCTAGAAAGTCAGAGCTGAGACACAAATTCACATATGCCATCTCAAAAGCCTAGGATGCTTCCCACAACCCAAACCAAAACACAGAAAACAGAATGGTGCTGTCTAGGACAGCAGGGTCAGGGCATCTCCACTATTCTCCCAGTTCTAGGAAACGAGTCCACAGTTCATCACTGGTCCATTTTGAGACACACATAAACCATGGACTAGAGGAGTAACATGACTTGTTAGTGTACACTGGGCTTAGAACCATGAACCCTGACTCAGAAGTATTTTATGGCTAGTACAGTTATCTTACATCAAAGGTTCTATTCAGTATCTTTAAAAGGCCTCTGCACATAGAAGAAGCCACATAAATAAATGGATTAGTGACGGTCAATTTTTCAACCTTTCTCATTACTTGTTTATTCAAGAGGCTAAATAGACAAGGAAATGAAACAGTCACGAGCTAGTACATAAGTATGCGAGCTCTTTAAGAAATAAACTGGAAGCCGGGCGGTGGTGGCGCACACCTTTAATCCCAGCACTCGGGAGGCAGAGCCAGGCGGATTTCTGTGAGTTCAAGGCCAGCCTGGTCTACAGAGAGATCCAGGACAACCAGGGCTACGCAGAGAAGCCGTCTCGAAAAATCAAATAAACAAACAAACAAACTGGGACCCAGTCCTACACTCAAAAGTCAGCTTACTATGGAGAAGCCTACACACCCACGTTTACGAATGCGCTACTCCCATCAGTCACACTTTGAAGTCAGCCTAGGTACTCATAAATGGAATAAAAAAATAGGTCTCTCTAAATAAAACAAAATCTTATTTGTCCATAAAAATGGAAATTATGTTGCTGGCATGAAAATGTATGGAACTAGATGTGATCACATTAAAATAAGCCAGTCTCACAAATATGAGCATCCCACACTTTGTCTCCTATGCAGAATGGAAGAGCGCCGTAAGGTAGGACAGTAGAAAGGGTCTATTAGGACACAGACAAGGAGAAGTGGGAGGGGACAGGTGGACCAAGAAAGGCTAACAGGAATGAACAGGATCAAAACATATCACAGTCATACAGAGAAATGCTGTATGTAATGCGACCCACTCCTTTGTGCAATTAACTTATACTACATCTCAAGAACAGTTAAGATAAAGCCATGTATGGCAGGCAGCTCATGTCCATAATCCTAGGACTTTGAGAGGTTGAGGCTGGAAGACTGCCATGAATTCCAGACTACTCTGGGCTACATATTAAGTTCCAGGGTCAGCCTAGGAAACAGGGTTAAGACCCTGTTTCCAAAACCCAAGCAGTGTAAACAAAAAGGGTCGTGAAAACAAAGAAGACCGGGAGACAGGCTGATGCATAACACCACGAAGGCCAGGGACATCAATGGTGTGACTAGAAGGGGAGAACAGACCTGCCCCTTCTTCGCTGCAGTCTCTCCGGGTGCCTCCTCTTTGGTGGTGCTGGCACTCCCTGTGGTGTCACCGGTGTACTCCCAGACCACAGAGTCCTTCTCAATGTCTTTAAGGTTGAAATTCCCTAATTTGTTTAAGGAGAATTCTTCAATCTAGAAAAAATAATCAGACATATCTTACTATATAGTATGAAAAATTCTGTGACAGGGGGTACTAAAACATTCACAGGAATACAAACTTAACACACTCTATAGTTCATCTAAGACATGAAATAGGAGACGGCAAGATGGTTCAATGGGTAAAGGCCTGATGACCTGAGTTCAGTCCCAAGGTGGAACGAAGTAGGGGATCCTTGAAAGCTGTTCTCTGACTTCCACACACAATAATAAATAAAAGTACGAAATTATAAAATACAAAACAGTTCACCAACTACCTTTGAGATTTGGTAATTTAAGTATCTTTTCGGGGTAAAGAGTAGGGTTTTGATTTGCAAAAGCCATGGTGACTTTGCAAAGTAAGTTTTCAATATCCTGGGGCACAGCATGGTCCTAGAGTACTTGCTTGCCTGGCATGCCTGAGACCTGTCGCAAAACTGGAAACAAACGAAACAAAATAAAACCCTAAGAAAAAAACAAAATAGCCTAATAAGTATCTGAAGTTGTTGGTTCTAGAGTAGAATTCACTGGTACTTAAGCCTTAGCTTACTCTAGCTATGTGTCCTGAGAGTCTGAGGCATCTCTCTAGGCCTCAGCACCCTGAGAAGTGGAGCCCCCCCTATGGGAGTATACTGGTGCTATAATTGATCTGCTCATGCATGACACATAGTCTTTAAAAATTTTCAAAGGACGTCAGGAATTGCTCCTATCAGCATTGTGAAGGTATGCAACTACCATCTAGATCCTCCTCATAACAGAACAGCTTGGGGGAGGGGGACACACTTGGAGTCAAGCTTCTCAGGAGGAAGCAGGGGTTCAAGGAGAATCTGGCCAACTTAGCAAGACTGTTTCAAAGTAAAACAGGGCTGGAAAGATGGCTCAGTGTATAAGAGCACTAGTTTCTCTTCCAGAGGACACAGGTTTGATTCTGAGCACCCACATGATAGCTCACAACCAACCACCTGTAACTATAGTTCCAGAGGATCTGATGCCTCTGTAGGCACCTGCTGTGTACGCGCATGCGCGTACACAGCAGAGGTTAAGAGGTAGCTAACAATGAAGCTCTGTGGTAGAGCATTTGTGATGGTAGCATGTTTGGGACCCTTAGTTTAATCCCCAGAATCACTACCCCCCAAAAAACATTAGATATCATGAATTCTTATTAAGTCCAAAAGTAACTGTGTATATTTTTTTCATTAATAAGGAAAATGTCTGTGCATTGTAGGAGAAAAGGTTTGAAGCGCTAAGCTCTGAGAGGCACTATGGCGCGCTGGACAGTTCTCTCCTTACACAATGGGGCTTATTAGTCATAATGCTTGGGCTGCTTTCCCAATCGCTGAAAGAAGCAACATGAGGGGCATGTTTATTTTAGCTCATAGTCCATCATGGCAAGGAAGTGAAGGTAGTCTTCTCCTTTAACCCGTATCAACCTGATGAAAGAAACTTGTCTTCTAGGTGATTCCAGAATCTGTCAAGTTGACAACACAACCATCACATGTAATTCAACAAGTTAATGAACACACCACACTGTGGGCTGGGTTCTCCATCAATGGCGTAGCTGACAGCACTCCCACTGAAGTGGAAGGGATGTGGCTCTCCCGACTTCCTGCTGTCTTACTTCACAGGAAGTCCGTCTTTTCCTAGCCTTCCCAACACCTGCTACTCCCAGGGCCACAGACTCCACTCCTCTTCTCTAATGTGTCCCTTGTCACTCTTCTCCTTTCTCAAACACACCACCGCGTGGTGTGCATGCACTAGCGCATGAGGAAGACCTCACTCTGGTCCGTATACACACTCATGACATGACTCTGCTCTGGTGGTCTACCACAGCACCCAGAATGCCTGGAGAGGACAGTGTTCTGTAACAACTCTCCCAAAGACACTCTGGAGGTCAGGGAGTGTCCTGTCTCTTCCTTAGATGCATGCATTCAGTATTCTCAAAGTCACTGCTGTATTTCTGCTCGTCATCATTTTTCTTCTGTTTTGTAGGATCAGGAAAGGGCTCTACCACAAGGCCTATCATGTCCTTAACAATGTTTTTTGAATAGCAAACTTTTTAGAAGTTAAAAAGTTTAGATTTTTAAACTTGATATAGATTACAGTTTTAGTTTTCTAAGAAACTCTTGCTATGAAGACTTCTCTTCTGAGAATTCCAGTTTTCACTTTCATGTATAGGTTTCTGACCCACTGGGGAGTATCAAGGCTTAATGTTTGACTTTTCCCCATGGATTTTCAGTTTTTAGCATTTCTTAAAAACACTTCTCTTTTCCTCAAAAATTTGCTTAGACACCTTCAACAAAACCAAGTGATTACCACATGACAACATTGAGTTCACAAAGAGACGGTATACCTCATTTACCTATGTCTTATTTTGTGTGTGTACATGTGTGCATGGATTATGAAACAAGGTCTCACTGTGTAGCCTGTACTCAGTATGTAGCCCAGGCCATCCTCAAACTTGTAATCTTCCTGCCTGAATCTCCCAAGTAGCAGGTTTGTAGGTCTGTGTCAATGCACCTTGATGCATATGTCTAAGAGTTCCTCAGCCATACACTCTAATATCCAGTTGGGAAATGTACATATCTTCTGTTACACTTATTTTCTGGCATTACTATTAATGGAATTTTTGTTGTTGTTTTGAGACATGGTCTTGCTAATGCCACCAAATGGCCTTAAATTCATGATCTTGCTGCCTCAGACTGAGTGTTTGAATTACAGGTATACTGCACAAAAGGCTCAATGGAATATTTTAAACCTAATTTTCCAATTGTATGATGCTAGCATGTAAAAGTACAACCAAATTTTGTATTTTAACTTTGAATCCTACGATCTTATTAATTCTAGGAGTTTTTTGTTTGTTTGTTTTGTTTTGTTTTGTTTTTTCTATTTAAAAAATCATGTCACTTGCACACAAAGGTTTGCTTCTTCACCTCTTTCCTGACTGCAATGACCAGGGCTTTCTGAAAAGTCTCAGGTTGGCGGACACCCTCTGCTTCTACTGGCAGAGTAAAGCCACCCAATATCCCACTACTAAGCATGAGGCTGCTGTGATATCAGGGGTGCCTGGCCAACTGGCCAATGCCTTGTGTGGGACTTGCTGTGGATATCGCTCTATATAAATAAAACACTGATGGCCAGTGACCAGGCAGGAAGTATAGGTGGGACAAAAAGAGAGAATTGGGGAAACAGGAAAAAGGAGGAGAGACACTGCAGCCACCGCCAGGACAAGCAGCATGTAAAGAAGCCGGTAAGCCACAAGCAACGTGGCAAGGTATAGATTTATAGAAATGGGTTAATTTAAGATATAAGAACAGTTAGCAAGAAGCCTGCCATGGCCATACAGTTTATAAGTAATATAAGCGTCTGAGTGATTATTTTATACGTGGATTATGGGACTGCAGGGCTTGGGGAACCTGGAGAGAAGCTCTCCAGCAACAGGGACTCAAGCGCAAGGCAAACCTTGGCCGCTGGAGTCTATCCCCAATGTCCCAGAAGTGCAGCTGCCTTGGTACCCAGCATAGGCTGGAAACTACAAGTAAAACACCATTAAAGCTGGGATGCCCTGATGTCAGTATCTCAACTTAGTGGTTCTGGTCCCAACTAAATCCTTCCTTCTAGAAGTTGCCTTGTCACGGTATGTCTTGGCTAGTTTTACATCAACCTGACACAAGCTAGAATCATTTTGGGAAGAGGAGACCCCACATGGGAAAGCCTGTGGTGCATTTTCTTGACTGATGTTGATGTGGGAAGGTTTAGCTCAGTGTAAGCAGTGCCATCCCTGGAAAGGTAATCCTGGTGCTATAAGGAAGCCATGGAAAATAAGCCATAAGTAGTACTCCTCTATGGCCTGTGCTCCTGTTCCTGCCCTGATCTCCCTCAGGTAAAATCAACCCTTTTCTCAAGTTACTTTTGGCCATGGAATTTTATAAAAATAGAAACCCAAACTAAGATGTGGTATTTTATCACAGCAGTAGAAAAGCAATTAATACAGAAGTCATGGTATGATAGCAAAAATCAGATGGCTGCTTGGGGAGGGGACCAGACACAATACAGCCACTCTTTGTGGTCATTAATTTCATTGAGGGTAGCTTCCCAAAATTTCCATCAGCATTCAGATTTTTTGTTTTTAAGGTGTAAGGAGGAGTTTAAAGGACAAATTCATACTAGGATATGTTGGTATCAGTGGTGGCTGCGAAAGTTTCTCGTGAGAAGGAAAAGCAGAGCTTGGCCAGGTGCCTGCAGCCATGGCATACCAGGGCAGTCCCACGCTGAGCGCTGAGGCAGCAGCAAGCAAGCAGTAACGTATTAGCCTGTACACTAGCTACAGAGAACTTTCCCAGAACCTTTAAATAAGGGCATTTTTATGTTTCAAAAGAAGAAAGTGTAATAAGTTAGCTGCAGATATTTTCCACAGATGTCTACTGTCAAATTCAACTTCTTTAGTAAAAATAAGGCTGTCAGCCAGGCATGGTGGCCCACACCTTTAATCTCAGCACCCAGGAGATAGAGGCAGGTGGAGTTTGAGGTCACTCTGGTTTACAGAGCGAGCTCCATGTCAGCCAAGGCCACAAAATGGGTTCTGTTGGAAGAGGATGAGAAAGAGGGAGAAGAAAGGCTCCTAGATTATTTTTCCTTTGGTTGAAAAGTGCCATGTTGATTATTATAAAACACGTACATTTGAGGCTGGGGAGATGGCTCAGTAGTTGAGAGAGCACTCTTGTCGAGGGCCCAAGTCTGATGCCCAGCACCTACGTCAGGTGCTTACAATCATCTGTAACTCTAGTTCCAGGGGATCTGATGCTGTTAGCCTCTGGGAACACCTACATTCATGTATACAGACACACAACCATAAACATAATAAAATAAATTTTTTTTTAAAAAATGTACAATTTACCTAGCTCTTCTTTCTGCTGTAGTGAAGCTATTTCATGACCCTTGACCCTCATGGAACTGCTATCTGAAGACAAGGACCAGACAACAAATTAAGCAAAACAGAAGTGTTGACAGTCCCTCAGAGAAGGAAGAAAAGGAGGCCAGGTGACCCTTGCCTGAGTCTAGGCACTGCCACCTGCAGATCCCTAGCTGTGTCTCATGGGTGCTAATGTGACGGCGAGGGCTGACAGACACTTGAGCCACCAATGCTCTTGTAAATAGTGCAGTAAAGGGAGGTCCGCCAGCTCAACTCAGGTACAGTTCTTTCTGGGACACCAGTGCCCTTACTATCAGGAGTGGGTATGTGAAGACATTTCTGTGTATAAGCTCAGTAAAAGCCATGCAGTAAGTGCTTTGTTTCTTTGTTTGAGAAAAAGTCTCTGTAGACCAGGCTGACTTCAACTTAGAGATCTCCTGCCTCTGCCTCTTAAGTGCTGGAATTAAAGGCATGTGCCACCATGCCATCATAAATGTTCTTTTTTTAAGTCTCCTCCTCTTCCTCCTCCTCCTCCTCCTCCTCTTCCTTCTCTCTCTCTCTCTCTCTCTCTCTCTCTCTCTCTCAATCTAAAGACAATCTTCTATAGCCCAGCTAGCCTCAAACTTGCTATATAGCCAAGACTGACCCTGAACTGACCTTCCTGCCTCCACCTCCAGAGTGCTGAGATTCTAAATGTATACCACTATGCCTGGCTTTAAGTGATGCTTGGTATGTACTCAGGCTCGCTAGATCTTAAACAATAATCTTTCTCTCATTCCCAATGACTTGTATTTCTTTATCTTAGTCACTCTATTAAGCTTCCTGATGAAAGGTACAGAACTGACATTTGGTGAACCAATGGTCTGGCGTGTCACTCCCGTGTGAGCTTGCCTTCCACCTGCCGGTGCTGACTCCACCCACTCCCTTCTCCTCCTGCGGCTGCTCTAGTCCACTAGTCCATTTGCTTCCTTAGGCCCAGTGCACATTTATTTTGCCCTTCAACTTCACACTTCTTGAATCTTTTCTTGTTTTACATTGAAGTGAATTAAGCCTACAAATGCCCTTGTAAACACTTTGCCTGCAGCTCACACATTCTGACAGCTTGTATGTCTCCCCCTCCCCCCCCCCTTTTTCAAGACAGGGTTTCTCTGTGTTGCTCTGGCTGTCTTGGAACTCAGAGATCTGCCTGCCTCTGCCTCCTGAGTGCTGGGATTAAAGGTGTACACCTCCTGGCTCCAACAGCTCGTACTTCTTAATCATTTAGTTAAAAATGTTTTCTACTTTCTCCTCCAGAGTCTTCCTAGTTCCAGCTATCTCTAATCTCTCAATCCTTTAAAAACCTTTGTTTGTTTATTTTTTGCATATGGATATTTTGCCTGCAATATGTCTGTGTAGGACATGTGCCAGGTACTCACAGAGGCCAGAAGAGGGAGTCAGATCTCTGGGACCCTAGGACCAGACACTCTGGTGTCTCCTGGGACCGGAGTTAGATGGTTGTGAGCCACCATGTGAACGCTAGGAATCAAACCTGGGTCCTCTGGAAGAGCAGCCAGTGATTTAATGATTGAGCCCCCTCAATCTTCTTGCTTTAGCCTCCTGACTGCTAGAATTACAAATGTATTCCATGACATCTATGTTGGCCTTTTAAAATAGGGTTGTCTAACAACCCACTTATATTTCAGATAATTGTTGCTATCACTTGTTGTGGAACAGAATATTTGTTTAACTATGTAAAGATGTGTTACATTTGTTTATGCTGCATTTGTTTAATTATGTAAAGATGTGCTGCTGTTTTATCTTGCCTGCCTAAGACACCTGATTGGTCTAATAAAAAGCTGAATGGCCAATAGCTAGGCAGTAGAGGGATATGCAGGGCTGGTGGGCAGAGAGAATAAGAGGAGGAATGTGGGCTTGAGAGAGAATGAGGGAGAAAGAGAGGGAGATGCTGGGGCCAGTCAGCCAGACATGAAGCATGAAAGTAGGACATACAGAATGAAAAAAAAGGGTAAAAAGCCCCGAGACAAAACACAGATGAAGAGAAACGGGTGAAATTAAATTATAAGAGCTAGTGGGAAAAGCATAAAATAAGGATGAGCATTCATAATTAATAAGTCTCCATATCATAATTTGGGGGCTGGTGGCCGAGAAAGCCTGCTACAATTACTGCTTCTAGATCAACATCCACTTCACTCTCTATACTGTCTCTCAAGCGGGTGTCTCTCGTCTTTCGTTTATTCTGAGTGTATTCTTTCTATCTCCAGATGTGAGTTATCAAAGCTAGGCTCAAGCCTTCAACAGCTGTCACCTCTGGGTAGTTTTGGAGTCAATGACATGGTCCCCCAAAGGCCCATACACGGAAGGCTTTGCTGGAGTCTATGGTGCTTTTGAGAGGTGGAGCCTCATGGAAAGAAGTTAGGTCACTGGGGGCATACCCTTAAAGTGGACACTGGGACCTCATGCATCTTTCTCCTGTGTGTGTTGGGATGGTGCAAGAGGGTACATCCGTGCATACCAGTGGAAGCCAGAGGACCACCTTGAATGGAGTTCCTCAGGAGGTGTCTACCCTGATTTTGGAGACAGGGTCTCTCATTTGGTCTGACACCCACCAAAGCAGGCTAGGCTGGCTGGGCAGATGGCTTCAGGGACCCACCTGTGTTGGTTTCCCCAGCACTGGAGTTATAGATATACAACCCAAGGCCCAGCATTTTACAAGTGTTTTAGGGACTGACTGGGGCCCTCATGCTTACTTTACTAATCAAAGTATCTCTACAGCATGCCCCACCTCTCTCTTTCTCTTTGCTTGTGTCCACTCTGAGGTGAACAGTCTTTTATGCTAAATGTTCCTACTGCAATGATGTACATATAGGGCTACTAAAGGCCAAAGCAACAGAGCTAAAACAACATAGAACGAAACCATTGCCACAAATGCATGTTTCTTTAAGCTGATCTCTCAAGCGTACCACTGCAGCAACCAAAAGCCAGCTAATACACAGGAACCTGCTCTTTTGTTCAGGCTCCTTGGCTCTTTGTAGACTGAGCAATTTTTATTGCACCCTAGATCCTATAAACACTGTTCTATATTGTTCTATATTATCCTTTATGCTTTAACCAAACAAATGTTGACAGTTTTGTTTGCTTTACCAGGTAATTAATTTTGTTAGCAAGTTACAAATTGTAATACCTTCATTAAATAACTGCTTAGAGCACTTTTTTTTTTTTTTTAAGGGAGGGAGGTATTGCTAAATAGCCCAGGCTATTCTTGAATTCACCATTCTTTTTCCTCAGTCTCCAGAGTGCTAGACCTACAGACATGTACACCACACCTAGCCTGGAGAAGGTCTTTATGCTTCAGTTTCCATTGTCAGGGTATAAACACTGAGGTTTGTTAGGCAAGTGCTCAACATTTCAAATAAATCCTCAGCTCACCATTTTTTTTATTCAAACAATAATGATAGGATCTAGCTAAATTGTCTAAGGGGACTGGTTTTGAACTCACTTTAGCCCAGGTAAACTTAGACCTTGTGGTCCTCCAGCCTCAGCCTTCCGCACAGCTGGATTACAGACCTGTACCCCCAAGTCAGACCAAAGCGTTCCATTGCTAAAGACAACTGCCACAAAGGTAACATAAAATGTCACTCTGCATCTCATGATTCAGGTGACCATCAGTTTGCTTTCTTTAGTTTTACAGGCTACAGGGGAAACCAGAGATACAAAGTGCTGTGGTCCTAGATACTTAGAAGGCTGAGACAAGAGGATAAACTGAGCCAAGATGTTTGAGGTAACACGGGCAACAGTGCAACTCAGTTTCAAAAACAAATCAACAAATAATAAAAATAAGACAAAAGTCTTAGTGGTTCTCAAACAGCATGGAGATGCTAAATAAAATCAAGTATCAAGTCAGAAAATTAAGCTCAATGAAAAATTCAAACCCAGCTCAGAGTTGTTTCAAAACTAATATTAGGTACTCTTTAAAACAGTATTATCCCTACACAGGGACAGGGTGACATCAGTATTGTAATCAAACACTAATATTTTGGTAATGAGAGTATGGTAGAATAATTAGATACTTCAGGTCTGGCTAAGTGTTTAGATTTTTTTCATAAGGAATTTAATAAAATCATTATCAGGCATAACCAAAATGTGTCATACCCATGATCCTAGATAAACTGGCAAGAGAGGTTCTTTCCTTTGCTGAAGAAAGAAAACGGCCATCAGAGCAAACACATATGGCGGCAGGCCTCCTTCTTCAGGGCGATCGATGCTACAAAGCTACAAAAAAACCAAACCCACATTAATGACGTTAGTTTGGGGATGATTGGATACTAAACCCACAGCCTTACTTGTACTAGCAAATTCTGTCACTGACTACACCTCCAGCTCCTGTAAGTTTTTTTCAAATTCACCAAGGTAAAAACTGGGCATCCTGTTTATCCTAGATTCAAGAAGTGAACCCTCCAGCGCAGCTGAGTCAGCGCAGCTGTGGTTTATGAGTCCTTCTGTTTTTAACTGGATGTTCTCTTCTTATAGCTGTCTGAGACAGGGTCGTGGTATGCAGCAGTTCAAGCTGTCCTGGGACTTGAGAGCTCCTAGTCTCAGCCTCCTTAGTGAGGCTCACACGTGTGCTCACACCTGGCCAGCTGTCAGTCTTACATCATGATGTGATCTCACTTGGGACTGCTTATGCTGACACTGCAGTTCAACCACCTATCTACAACACTACGGAACTGTGAGACATCCTGGAGTCTGAGTGTGTCACTGGAAATGGTGTCAGCAGCCTTATCTCAAACATTACCATGCCTCAGAAGACTTCACAAAGAAGTTAAAGTAGAACTTCTTGGGTCATAGTCTACCAGTTTGACCCATATCTGATTTTTAATAAGTGCTATAACTCATTTTATCTTCTGAGGAATAATGTCACACTGAAATAGAAACTCTGAGCTTTCCTTCTGTGTATATTAAAGTGTCTAGTCCAATATTCTTACATCCACTCTCTATAAATAGTTATCTGAAATAAGGCATGGTGGCACACATCCGTAATTTCAACACTCAGGAAGCAAAGGCAGCTACAAGTTAGAGGACAGCCTAGATTATGTAGTGAGTTCCAAGCCAGCCAGAGCTGCCAAAACAAGTCCAAACCAAACAAACCCAACAAAACCCAAACAAACAACAACAACAAAACAAAAAAAATCCACACACAACCACCCACCCCAAATCCTACCTTTGCCCAGTGTCTAAATGCAATCACCAGAGGGACCAGCCTCGGCTCTAGTTTTCCAAGAGCCGTTAAATGCTTTGTGGTCAGATAAGCGTTTTCATTTCCTGCGCTCACTTTACAAAGAAGACCACTAGTGGGGGGAAGGGTAAAGATGAGAGAGAAAAGAGAAAAAATTGTGTTAAATAGGGATTGGTCTTCTACATCAAGTTTACACTAACAACAATAAAACCTAAAGAATAAAGAGCTTAAAATCACGATGTGGGATTTCAAAAAGAGTTTGATTTATTTTATGTGTGTGATCATTTTGAATAAATGTAAGTATGTTGTGTACCATGTACATGCAGGGTTCCTTAGAAGGTCAGAAGAGAGCATCTGATCCCTGGAATTGGAATCCCAGGTGGCTGCAAGCCACCAATCGGGGGCTGGGAATCAAACCAGCTCCACTGCAGCAGCAGTCAGTGCTCTTAACCTCTGAGCGTATCTTCAACCCCAAAACTAGATTTTAAAAAATGGTGGTAGTATTTTTAAGTATTAAAAATACTTTGGAAAGAGCACAAGAACAGAAAAGTATTATCAAAGGCCTGCTCTGATCATACCAATGGTACAAGAGTTTTCTCCTGAGAGTCAAAGGGATTTGCTTAATGAAGAGTCATCACAGCCTACCAAGCTCCCAGTAAGTGGTGGCGGCAGTGCTTCCCACGGGAAAAGAGCTGCACATGTGAGGCACAGAGGTCCACACCGACCACTATCTCAGATGCCAAAAATGTTACTGAAAACAATGGCAAAGAAGGTGCTGAGAGGAAGCAATTATTCAATCAGGCCAGTTTAGCTGGAATCCGCTAAGATACTTCCAAAAGTTTATTTTCCTTTTCTTCTTAAAATGAAAGTACAGGGAAAATGCCAGTAAGAAGGACAAGTAATAGCCAGATTAGGAATTTACACTTCTACAAGTTAACCCTGAGATTTAACAAAGTACATGTGACTTTGGTAATCTGACAATCTGGGCATGGTGGTACACCCTGTGATCCCAGCACAGCAGCAAACATACTGCCATAAACTAAAGGCCATCCTGGGCTACAGAGTAATTCAGGGCCATCCTGGGCTATATATAGTTAGACTTTATCTCAGAATAAACCCAAATAAGATAAATCATATGAAATAAATAGCAACTTAAAGACACAGAGACCTTTGCTTATCTCTGCACAGTACCACGGGCACCCGGGCATGGAAGTCAGCATCAACATCAGTGAAGGAGTCTGAGGAGAGAGGAAAAACAATCAAACAGGTTAATTAAACCTCTCTGAAAAACAAACCTGGGAAGGCCTAAGAGTAGCTGTGGGTCTGAGAGGCCACTGCCACAAACACCCCTCAGGTGACTTAGAAAGAGAGGACACTATGTCCACGATCAAATCACCACAGTCCAAGTCCTAATCTTCCAAAGCTAGTGTTTGATCAGAAAGACTGCAGTGTTGAAGCAGCACTTAAACGCTCTGTGGACAACATAATTAGAAATGTGCACAGGAGACTAAGGACAAAGTGATGTAAAGCTACTAACAATAGACAGTGTCAAACTATGTACTGACTGAAACAAGATGAAATGTTTAAATGTTTCTAAAAACAGAAAGAATAAGAACACCTAACTCAAGGGAAAGCATCATCTGATGAGGCCTAGCTACTGAGAAAAGCCATAAGCCCCAAGGGGGACATTGGCTTGGACAAGACAACTGAGGAGCCCATTTGGGAACAGTGGTCTCTGAGTTCATTAATCAGGGTGGGGCCACACCTATTTGCCATTTGTAATGCTGACTTCAACCACGAAATAAAGCAGATCGCTATGAGCTTACTCCCAAGAGTAAATATCATATATTTTGCATTTTTAACTCATCTAGGGTTCATTAATCCTAAATGTTGTCAGACTAACAGCTGTCTCACTGGTGGTCCTTCAGAGTGCTCGCTGGACTCTAGTTAATAGTTCAAAGGCATTGACTTTTATTTTTGCTTTGGATTTTACCCTTAATATAAGTAATTTTTACAAGTGAACTTCCTACTTGCAGTTTTGTAGTAAGATATATTCAAATTTATAGACAGAAGACAAAATCAGAAGCAAAATGTGGAAGAATTTGGCCTTACCACTGTTCTTTAAACATTCTTGAACAAGTAAGAGGACATCTGGCTGAGACATCTAGGAAATAAATGAATGAATACATGAAATAATCCCTCAGCACTTTTGTTTTTCTGGTATAATACAGTCTGAAGCTCCCCAAATTGCTTTCCAAATAAGAAATGCACATTGCTACAGGTGAAGAAAGTAGTCATTAGCCTGTGTGTAAGGCCAGCAAAGAGCCCATGAGGAGGCTTGTGTGTGGGTAAAGGATTTGCTGAAGTGCGTACAAACTCGCTCTTGAGGTAGTGATGGTGGCTGGAAGGTGTTTTACTGCAACAATGTCCCCTGGCTCTGAAACACTGCTGCAGCACACAGCTGCACGGTTACAAGCCTTTCTCCAGTCTCTGCTCCACACTGGACCAAAGCCCTTTCAAATTCTCCAATGGATCCTTAAATCTTTTTCTTATGTCCTTGGTTTCAGGTGTTTTATTTACACATTTATGTGTGTGTGTGTGTGTGTGTGTGTGTGTGTGTGTGTGTGTGTGTGTGTGTGTGTGTGTATCCCTGAAGAGACCAGAAGAGGGTGTCAAATCCTCAGTACAGGAGGTACAGGCAGTTGTAAAATAAGCATGTGCGAGCTAGGAGCCAAACACAGGTCCTCTGGAAAAGCAACATCAACACTGAACTGCTGAGCCACCACTCTAGCCCTTTCTGTTTTTTGAGACAGGGTTTTGTTCTATAGCTCAGGCTGGCCTCAAACTCACAGTAATCCTACCACTGCCTCGAAAATGCTGGGACTACAGGTGTGAGCCACCCTCCCAATTCAAGGGTCCTTAAATTTTTGCTGAAACCATACTGTTATTAGGTCAAAGTCAAATGTTACTGCACAGCCTTCAAGCTCCTCCTGTACAATTGACCCAGGTCTCTATATCTTAAGCACAGCTCTGTGGAAATGCACCCTCTTTGAGGAAGCTAAGTCTGTTCTCAGAGCTTGTCACTCAGCCTTGCTTCTCTGCATAGCTGTTACTATAGTAAATAACCGAGGAAACAGCTTACCTCCTGACTAGCTACAAGTGCCACCAGAGAGCCAGGTCTATCTTGTCCTTTACAAACTAGCACAGTGCCTACATACAACAGGGGCTTAGTGAAAACTTACTACATTAATGATACCAGATCAAAATAACCACTATGGATTTACTCTGGTAAATTACTTACTAGAATTTGAAACTTAAAACAATATTAACATTGGAGTTGGAGATGGCTCAGTGGTTAAGAGCACACACTTCTCTTCCAGAGGACCTGAGTTCAGTTCCTAGTGCTCACATTGGGCAGCTCACAACCACTTGTAACTCCAGTTCCTGGGGAGAATCTAATACCTCTGGCCTCTGAAGGTATTCCTACACTCACGTGCATATACCCACATGAAGACAGACAGACAGACAGACAGGCACGCACGCACGCACGCACGCACGCACGCACGCACGCACGCACTAAAATAAGTTTTTAAAAAAGCAGTAAAATCTATGGGTTAACTAATCAGGTAGCTACAGAATCTACAGAATCGCAGCACAGCAAGGAATGAGAGGCTATGAGGAAGACCACCAAGGAGTCCAACTCAGAATCTAGTTGTTGTTTTAAAGACAGGGCCTTACTAAGTAACCCTGGCTGACCTGGAACTTCACTATGTAGACCGGGCTGGCCTCAAACTCACAGAGACCCACCTGCCTCTAGGACCAAAGGCATGTGCCACCATGCCTGGCCTCAGAATCTGTATTTTTAACAAACAACTAAACTAAGCATAGACCAACTGTAAAAAAGCCATTGGGAACCAGAGTGCATAAATGGATAATCTAAGTTTCTTCTGGCTTTAAAGTTCTGACTTATCCATGTCTTTGGGAGTCATATTTCACCAAAATGTAGGGTTGTATAGCTGGTGTGTGTGTGTGTGTGTGTGTGTGTGTGTGTGTGTGTGTGTGTTGGGAGGAGGGGTTCCTCACTTTATGCTTGCCTTAAGCTTGCTTTGTCTGAGGCTAGCCTTGAAGTCCTGATCTTTCTGTCTCCAACTCTCTAGCACTGGGATTACAGGTGTGCTCCATCATGAGGTAAGGTGTGGTTCTTTTCACAAGTCTAATTACTGTTTAAATTCCATGTATTCCTGATGCCTTTGTGTGGGGCATACATTGGCCACAGGACAGTTTGTGGCACCAGAGATTGAGCTCAAGTCATCAGGCTTGTGGGCAAGCACCTTTATCACTGAGCCATCTCTCTGGTCCATCACTAGTTTTTATTATTGTTATTGTTTTATTATTAATAGTAATATATAAAATGAGAATTTGGGAGTTAATTAGGTTTCCAGAGCACGAACATTTACAAATACACACTATTTGAACGTCTGCCTTCCTGTCATAGTAAGGTTGGCTTTATGAAGAGAATTTAAACTTTCTGAAGACATATATACACCCTCGCAAGATCCATACGCCTATAAAACCAGCGTTACAAGTAAGTGGGAAAGATCTATAGCAAAATAAGCATGAAAATTTGTAAAGTAAAAAAAAATAAAGTTCTGAAGCTAAAAACAGTAGAAGACATAAAAACGAAAATTCTCAGGGAGAACTGTCACAGCTACACTTTAAGTCTCAACATATATTTACATCCAGGTCATATTTAGAAGAGTTTCTGCTTTTTGCCATCAGATAGCCTCAAGTCTCAAGCACACTCCCTGGAAAAGCCTGTGCCAGTGTGAAGCACAGCAGGCTGATACGAGACAAAGCTGAAGTCCTCACAAAGGAGCTGTGACAAACTGGCTTAAGGAAGGCCTGTTTTCCTCACAATCCACGTGATCCTGAGGGACTCATAATTATGTTTGCGGGTCAGCGATCAAATCCTGAGAATTCTCAAATCTAAAAGCCTTGCCCCTGATGTCTCTGAGAGTCCCCATCACTCCATTAAGAAAGTGGCTGCTGTGTACATTTTGAGAGGAACAGAAAAGATAAGGACACTAAGATCTATGTGCTTCTGATATGGAGCCAAATTATCAACTGGCTTGATATTCTAAGACCATGCAGGTCTGCCCAGCCAACTGAAAATACACACAAATGTGCCCACGTACTCATCAATAAAATAAGCTTAAATAAAGACAGGGGCTCAGGAGTTAAGAGCACTTGTTCTTCTGGAGGACCAGAGCTCAGATCCCAGCACCCATATCAGGTGGCTCACAAGCTCCAGAGGAGCTGATGCCCTCTCTGGCCCCCATGGGCATCTACACGCACCTGGCATACACACACACACACACACACACACACACACACACACACACACACACACTAGGAAGGGTACATGAGTTCACACAAGCATGTAAATATAAACTTTTCTTAAAAGCTAAACAAAAGAATTCTTTGTGACTGCAAAGTCCAGCACATCATTTTGTACTTACGATTGCTGGAAACTGAACATCAATGTTCACATCTGAGTCTCTGAAGCCGAGTCTGCTACAGGAAGATCCATACAGCCTAAGAGAACAGTCTAGAAATAAGTAAGCACATGGGAGTCACAAATCGTAAAATCTCTCAAAAGCTTTAACCAAACACTGCTACTTAAAACACAAAACTATCAATCAAAGCTGTGCACAGAAGCAAGACCAGAGAGACCAGACACTCACAAAGGAGGACTGCAAAGCCATTTGCTCAGCTTTTCACTGGACTTCAGCCACCCTGCCATGAAGCTTTGAAGCATTTAAAGACTCCTACAGGAATCTTGCTATCATGCTCACATCTTGTGCAGAAAACTCTGTAATGATTTTTAAAATTCTGATGTTGAATGTTGAAAAGAACACCTGTTGTTAAATCCTACAGTATACTCATGAGCTATTGCAAGTATTTCTTTCTAATATCAGAATGCATACATAGCTCTAACTTGATTAGATTTGCCTTGATCCTGGGTCAATCATTTTGCCTCATCTTCCCCAACGCTAGAACTATAGGCTCGTCTACTGCACCCAGCTAACACTGCCATTTTTGTGAGGGGACAGGACTTTGAGGCAAGGACTCAAGTAGCCCTGCTGGCATCTAACTACCTATGTAGCTGAGGATAACTCAGCTACATGTCCCTGCCTCCACCTCCTCCTAGGTGTTAGAATTGCCACTGTATGAGGCTCTAAAGTTACTTTTTTTTTTTAATTTATTTATTTATTATGCATACAATGTTCTGCCTGCATGTGTCCCTGCAGGCCAGAAGAGGGCACCAGATCTCATTACAGATGGTTGTGAGCCACCATGTGGTTGCTGGGAATTGAACTCAGGACCTCTGGAAGAACAGTCAGTGCTCTTAACCTCTGAGCCATCTCGCCAGCCCTAAAGTTACTTTTTAATAGTAATCACCACAGCATGAACAAAAAGCCTTTAACATAACACAACCAGTTCTGAAAATCATTTGTGAAAGTATTACAGAATAATTTAAAATATGACAAGATGGATTGGTGAAGCTCACACTCAAATCCTCACATTTGAAAGGTTGAGGAAAGAGGACAGAATATATTCATTCCTTATAAAGGTGTCTCTTAGTCACTTGTAACTTTAGTAAATTTTGCTTGTAAAATATACTTTGTTATAGAAAACTCTTAAAACCCAAGAAGTCATTTAAATCATTTCGTTGTTTTTGTTTTTTCTTTTTTTGTTTTGTTTTTTTAAGAAAAAACTCCCCTTGATGGTGAAGGTCTTTTTGGCACAATGGAAGTAAGCACTGAAATTGAATGCTCTAAATGTGCACAAGTGACACACACATCTGCACCCACACCTCGCTTAGAGAGACAGTGCTGCCAGGTGGGGTGGCACACGCCTTTAGTCCCAGCACTTGGAAGGAAGGAGCAGGCAGATCTCTGTGAGTTTGAGGCCAGCCTTGGCTACAGAGTGAGTTTCAATCCAAACAGGGCTACACAGTGAGACTTTGTCTCGAGGGAAAGACAAAAGAGGAAGTGCTTTTATTTTGGTTGCTTGTCACAGAACACCATGTGCATGACTTTTCTGTCTGAGTAGTTTGGAGCTGTAATGAAAGGTAACTAAGCAATGACTCCAACTCCGTCTCCCTCCCTTGACCCCCTCTACATCCCACTAGGTAGCCCCAGGTAGCCTTGAACTCATGATCCTCATCCATCAGCCTCCCAAGTGCTGGGGCCTTGTGGGGCTTTTACAAGGGGTTGTCTGCTGTTCATTGGCAATTCTGCCACAGGAAAGACTCAAAAGCTGATTAAGCTACTTCAGTCATTGCCTACAGAGGCCCAGCCAAGTGTGTGTGGGATGAGTCTTAAATGTTAGCAGACAGCATGCCCCTACAAAGTTATCCCCACAACTTGATGGATCTAAAATTAGAAAGAGGCAAAAGACAGACGCAACTTGAAAAATCATTGCAAGGGTAAACAAAACAATAGCACATAATATGTACGGGGCTCCAAAACTCAGTTTCTACACAATTCTTTTAGGTACACTTAAATAGAATTTTATTTTGACACAGATAACCTAAAAATTACTTCAGGATACCTCTCTTTGTTTAACTGGACTAGGGCTCAGTATAGAACAATTACCTAGTATATACAAGGTCCTAGATTTAATCTCTAGTGCTATAAATAATAGTCTAATAAATAAGGCTACATAATAAAAATAGAGTTGGGGATGTGATTCAGCCAATATCAAGCACATGTCTAAGATTTGCAAAAGGCTCTGGGTTGCTTTCAGTACTGCAAAACAAACAAAAAAACCTACGTTAATTCAGACAAAAAAGTAACCAAACATCCATCGAAACCTCAGTGTCTCAATAAAGGGCATATTCAACTATATTAAAATTAGTCACACATTAAAATGTATAATGAAGAGATGTATGACAGTGCATATAAGTTTTTTGTTACCTTGGGAAAAGTCTCTCTCTCTCTCTCTCTCTCTCTCTCTCTCTCTCTCTCTCTCTCTCTCTCACACACACACACACACACACACACACACA